AAATAAATATACTATTTCAGAATCATATTTGTTAAATGATTTTTTATTTAAAAGCACAAAATGCTTTTCCTTTATTTCAATATTAATTGTAATATTTTCTAAAAAAATTACAATTTTTTGAAATACATGAAGTGAAATACATATTTTAATAACACAGGAAAACAAATTTGGGTAAACTTTTTGATCAGGAAAAGTAAGAACGTTTTTTAAGAGCATTTGAACCTTCGTGACGTCACAAATCATGGCGCATGACACGCAAACTTCTCAGGTATGTGAAAAGCACAATTTTGAATATTTAAAAAAAAAACCTTTTAGAAAATGTTCAGAATAACATAGACTCTGTCTGTTATGTGCGGAAAATTCAAAATTTTGCGTTTAAAACGTTTTTTAAACAATGTTAAGGTCACAAATCATGGCGCATGACACGCAAACTTCTCAGGTATGTGAAAAACACAATTTTGAATATTTTTTAAAAAAACCTTTTGGAAAATGTTCAGAGAAACATAGACTCTGTCTGTTATGTGCGAAAAATTCAAAATTTTGCGTATAAAACGTTTTTTAAACAATGCCTACATATAAGCAATTCGTGTATTTTTCCTTACTTGTGACAACCAACTTAAACATTGTTTAAAAAACGTTTTAAACGCAAAATTTTGAATTTTCCGCACATAACAGACAGAGTCTATGTTATTCTGAACATTTTCCAAAAGGTTTTTTTAAAAAATATTCAAAATTGTGCTTTTCACATACCTGAGAAATTTTACGTGTCATGCGCCATGATTTGTGACGTCACGAAGGTTCAAATGCTCTTAACATATTTTTTACGCTGAATTCGAATCTATCGTTAGATTTTCTGTAATACATCAAATTTCAAAATGGCGGATTCAATATAGCAGACGAAAAAATAAAATATTATTTTTCTACGCGACATTATTAATAATAAAGCATTATTAAATTTCGGCAAATCATTGATTATTTATTTGAATTTCTATGAAATTTATAAATTAAAACATTAACAAATGGAATTAATTGAAATAAATAAAATTAGAATTTCATTCATTCAATTATCGACTAATTATACTCACAGAAAATAGGTGGGTAAAAAGTTGTAAAGATAGAGGATAAATTTGTGATGGATAAAAATGTTACTAAAATATTACTAGAAAAATGGATGTCATATTTGAGTAAACTGTCTAATTTTAATAAAAATATTAGTAATTTTACACTTAACTTATTAAATCCACAAATTTTATATAAATAAGTAATTGCATATGGAAATATTTTGCCTATAATTATTGTCTATTAATAAAAATATCCTTGACTAATACAACTGACAGCTGACGACAGTGCGTAAATAATCAGAACTGGGAAATTACAACTCAACATCTGTTTTGTTGCACGAAAGCAGAGTTGGGTAGTAACTGAATTTTTTGTGCATATCAAACTTGTGATATCTTACATTATAAAAGTATAATTAAATCACAAATATGAGAGATTCTTTTTCAATCGCCCCAGCCCAAAAAGTCAATGTTCTGGGATTGGCTTCATACTTTGGTAAATTGTTGTCCTATATGATAGTAATAAATCCCTAAAATATAAACTCATTAAAAAAATATTTGTAGAAAGTAGAGGGGGTTGAAGTTTTGACGTTAAGGGTAACATTGTCATTTTCAAATCCGTTTAACTATGACAAAAGTAAATGGATTTTAATTTATCTATAATGAATTTTATTGCATTTTTCACGTACTTTTCAAAAATGTATACGAAATTTAAAAAAAAAAATTTTAACCCCTTTTTTTCAAAATCAACCCTTATTTTTCAATTTTCACCCCTTCGGGTATTTTTTTTTTTTTTTTTTTTATTTTCATTGGAAAGCTGAGGTTTTTTCCGATGAGCTATGTAAATATGAAAATGGGACAACAATAATTTTGTGAGTAACAGAATATTAAAGTAGGCGGTGCCGATAAGGGGTGTACCTGGAGATCATCTTTGAGGATTTAGATAGGCACCGCCTAATTTAATATTATGTTTCTCACAAAATTATTGTTGTCCCATTTTCATATTTACATAGCTCATGGGAAAAAACCTCAGCTTTCCAATGAAAATAAAAAAAAACAAAAAAAAATTCCCGAAGGGGTGAAAATCGAAAAATAAGGGTTGATTTTGAAAAAAAGGGGTCAAAAATTTTTTTTTAAAAATTTTGTATACATTTTTGAAAAGTACGTGAAAAGTGCAATAAAATTCATTATAGATAAATTAAAATCCATTAACTTTTGTCATAGTTAAACGGATTTGAAAATGACAATGTTACCCTTAACGTCAAAACTTCAACCCCCTCTACTTTCTACAAATATTTTTTTAATGAGTTTATATTTTAGGGATTTATTACTATCATATAGGACAACAATTTACCAAAGTATGAAGCCAATCCCAGAACATTGACTTTTTGGGCTGGGGCGATTGAAAAAGAATCTCTCATATATATGAAATGTATTGCTGAACGAAAATTTTATAAAGTAATAAAGCAGAAGGATTTGTGAAACAAATTGGGAAACGTGAAGCAGGAGATAGTTGCAAAGTTTTCGACAATTTAGAATCTCGTTATATTCTCGAGAATATAACCGAGAATATTCTCATAGCGGAGGACCTACGTTAATTTACTATAATGTTTAAAGTTGAATTCACATGGAGGAGTCAAAATCATAGGTTTCGAATAAATAGAATTTATTAAAAATAAAAATATACAACTATTAAAATAATTTTAGGTTAAGTTGTCATCCAGACAATATGTGACGCTCCACGAGAAAAGACACCTAACGTGACATCTAATTGTAGGTTATGTTTAGTGACAGTTTTAACTACTTGTTAAAAAGTCCCTTTTTAATTAGATCGAATCAAAATTAGTTTTTACGAAATTTTTTAGGTATAATAAAGATTTAAAAATGAATGGTTTGCATTAATAGTTCATCCTCTTTGTGTATTTTCTATACTACTTCGTGGAAAATACCACGAAGTAGTATAAGGAGCACACACTCTATAGGGGCATTGTCGACATATCAATTACTTTAATTATTATTAATTATTATTTTGTTCTTTTTAAATTTGAATATTGTCTGGATGACAACTTAACCTGAAATTAATTTAATAGTTATATATTTTTATTTTTAATAAATTCTATTTATTCGAAACCTATGATTTTGACTCCTCCATGTGAATTCGACTTTAAACATTATAGGAAATTAACGTAGGTCCTCCGCTATGAGAGAGATTCTAAATTGTCGAAAATTTTGCAACTATCTCCTGCTTCACGTTTCCCAATTTGTTTTACAAATCCTTCTGCTTTATTACTTTATAAAATTTTCGTTCAGCAATACATTTCATATATATTTGTGATTTAATTATACTTTTATAATGTAAGATATCACAAGTTTAATATGCACAAAAAATTCAGTTAAGGTGCTTATATACCTCAAATTTCGATCAGATGAACATTATTTCTGGACCGTGAAAATGCGTGAAAAGTCATTTTCACGGCGGGTATTTTTGAATTGTTTTAAACAAAAAATGTTTTTTTAAAGAAATATAATATTAAATAATTGTTTTAATATGTAAGAACACTTTAAAATAGTGATAAAAAGATGATTTGATTGAAAAATTTAGCAAATTTTGCTTTAAAACGTTTCTGCTACAAGAAAGTGTAAAATGACGATGTTTGTGCAATGGTTTGTACAGTGTACATGTGTACATGTTTCTTTCAGTTATTCGAAACAATTAGTTGAATTTAAATTTATTTGATAAACATTTCAACTTACCGATTTATTTTCAGCACTCATTATTTATTACAAGTTAAAAAGAACCGACATAACATGTACAAAACTCTGAGAGACACTAACAAGGAAGAAGCACTGTACAAACCATTTCACAAACATCGTCATTTTACACTTTCTTATAGCAGAAAACGTTTTAAAGCAAAATTTGCTAAATTTTTTAATCAAATCATCTCTCTATCACTATTTTAAAGTGTTCTTACATATTAAAACAATTATTTAATATTATATTTCTTAAAAAAACATTTTTTGTATAAAACAATTCAAAAATACCCGCCGTGAAAATGACTTTTCACGCATTTTCACGGTCCAGAAATAATGTTCATCTGATCGAAATTTGAGGTATATAAGCACCTTAACACTATATTATATTATTCTACAACGATACGATAATTTTTAATAAGAAATCACTTCATTTGATATGAGATCCAGATTCACCAGATATAATTTTGCCGACTAGTATTGAAGAGACTTATTTTCCCCTTTTTTAATATCAATTTCCTTTAATTCTAAACTCTCTAATTATATTATTATGAGGCGATATTGGCTCTACGAGACGATAATGGTTTCACGCTACGTTACGCTAACAATGTCCAAAAAGGATTTGCCTCGTGGCTTTCGACGAGCCGGTTGCCTCTCGATTAGTCTAGCCTAACCCAGAGACTTGCGGGTGGACTCACACTCTTCTGCTACCTTAAGGCGCGAAAACTATTCAAATTTAAATCATCACACACAACAATAATGCAAACTCAAACAATTATGGTATTAAATATTGTTATCATATATCGAAATAAATTTTACTCGATCTTGAGACGTGTCAAAAAAATGTCACTTTACAAGTGAAAAAACGGATTGTTGCTTTGAAATCAGAAAAACGTTAGTAATAGAGTTTTGTTGCTCGGGTCCAAAACCTTGTAAAACTGTGTAATTAAGAAAATGGTAATTATTTTATTGACTGGCTGACCAAACACTGTCTTATACTACTTAAGAAATTTATCTTCTCTAAACTCTCATTAAGTACAGTGGTCCTTTAAGTTTAAATCTCTCAATTTTATTGAAATCACATTTTATTTTTCTAATTTTTCATTTTATATTCATATTTTATTTATTTATATAATGCCTATATAAATAATTAATATATTTTTATTTAATGTTAACGTTTGACTTTTACAGTGAGACTAACGACGTCAACACCGGTCTTCTTGTTGAAGTTTGGAGCAAAGGGATGCTGTGGGACAGAGCCCTTGGTTATCACTACATACCGCTGCCAGAAGTTTCTTACTCAAATGAGGTAACAAATAATGAAAACCACAATACAGTTGTCGAAAGACAAGAGGAAACACAAAAACATGATATACACAAGGACATTTACAAGTAACACAAGCTTATCACGCAACTGACACGTCAATCGATAACAAACAGTATAACTCACATCACTCGCGAATCTATGACATGGCACACATTATCAAAAAATCAATTTTAGTTTATGCTTTTTGTGTTTTCCTCAAAAATTGCATATGGCTGATTCTCCGCAAAGGCGCGTGTGTTATTCACAAGTAACACTACCCAACTGTTAATCACCGATTTTGATGAAACTTGTCACACTTTTAAAACATGGAAAAATATTGAACACGTAATTTTTTATATCGGCCCGTTTTGAGTTTAAAGGGTAGAAAACACCCTTTTTCAATTTAAATGATGAAAAGCAGTATTTCATACGGAATTTACTAAATTTGCTTGAAACATATTACTCGGGGGTTTTCGAGGTCGCTGATTACGAATCTGAAGTCAGATTTTAAAAATTCAAAATGGCGGATTCAATATGGCGGACAATAAAATCAAAAACTAATCGGATTTGATTGAAACTTGTTAGTCGGGGGTTTTTGGGGTCACCGATTACGAACCTGATATCAGTCGGGTAGTTGATTACGAATACGCTGTCAATTTTTAAAAATTCAATATGGCGGATCCAATATGGCGGACAATAAAATTCAAATTCACTCGAATTTGCTTGAAACTTATTACTCGGGGGTTTTTGGGGTCGCTGATTACGAATTTGAAGTCAGATTTAAAAAATTCAAAATGGCAGCTCCAAAATGACAGACAACTTTTTAAAAAATTCATTGCGTTCGCTTAAAACTTATAACTCGGGGGTTTTTAGTGTCGCTGATTACGAATCTTACCTTTGTTGGTTGGATTATTGTTTCTTTCCTTTACTGGTTGGATTATTGCTCCTTACCTTTACTGATGGATTATTGCTTCTTACCTTTGATGGTTGGATTATCACATCCTGCCATTACTGGTTGGATTATCACATCTCGCCTTTACTGGTTGGATTATCACATCTCGCTTTTACTGGTTGGATGCTTCTTGCCTTTGTTGGTTCGATTATCATATCTTGCATTTGTTGGTCCCCCCCCCCCGAGTTATAAGTTTTAAGCGAACGCAATGAATTTTTTAAAAAGTTCTCTGTCATTTTGGATCTGCCATTTTGAATTTTTTAAATCTGACTTCAAATTCGTAATCAGCGACCCCAAAAACCCCCGACTAACGAGTTTCAATCAAATCCGATTAATTTTTGATTTTATTGTCCGCCATATAGAATCCGCCATTTTGAATTTTTAAAATCTGACTTCAGTTTTGTAATCAGCGACCTCGAAAACCCCAGAGTAATATGTTTCAAGCAAATCTAGTAAATTCCGTATAAAATACTGCTTTTCATCACTTAAATTGAAAAAGGGTGTTTTCTACCCTTAAAACTCAAAACGGGCCGATATAAAAAATTACGTGTTCAATATTTTTCCATGTTTTAAAAGTGTGACAAGTTTCATCAAAATCGGTGATTAACAGTTGGGTAGTGTTACTTGTCAGTAGAAAAAAAAAGTTATGAATATTTTGTATGGCTCAACACAGATATTTCATTCTTGAGCACTAAACTTGAAGATTATAATTTTTTAAAGGTTTTAAATGAATTTCTACTTTACAGTATTTTTACCAAATTTTTATTTGTTATAATTTTTATTTTACAGAATTTCGATTTACACAACAAGAATTCTAATTCTATCGAATTTTAATTTCGGATAATTGTTTTATAATTTTAACAGAATTTTAAGTGCTTCGAATTTTTAAATGTTAATATTTCTAATTCACCGTATCTTAATATATCAAAATTTTTATTTGTACGAATTATTATTTGGTAGATTTCTTAAAACGCCGAATTTTCATTTATCCGTAATTGTAAATGGACAAACAAATAGTCGACAGAAAGATTTCGGCGATTTATTTAAAATTCAATCATGATTTTTTTTGATAATTTCTGTTTGGTTAATTTTAAAAATTGCACCAAAATCTACCTGTTGATTTTATACTCGACCATTTGTAATTTTGGATAAATGAAGATGTCTTTTTAAGAATTATATCAAAATTCATGCAAATAAAAATTCGAACAAATAATGTTTTAGTGTAGTAGAAATTTTAACATTTAAAAATACTTATCACTTAAAATTCTGTTAAATAAGAATTATGCTAAATTAAAATTCGGTTAAATTAGAATTCTTTTAAATAAAAGTTTGGTATCTAAAAATTCTGTTAAGTAAAAATTTGTTTGAAAAGAAATTCTAATTCGAAAAATTACTTTTACTATTATCAAAATAAGTTTCTGAAAATATTACAACAAAAAAAAATTGTTAAATTTATAAACCATTGAAATTTTTAGCAGCCTTAAAAAAACGTTTCTCTATATGTACAGCAATTAATAATCCTTTAATTGCGCTAATTGTTTTTCTTTCACTTTTAACAAAATTATAATAGGCATAAAGTGAAAACAATTTTGATTAATCAACTTTTTTAGCGGTAGTACTTATATAAAGTTAAAGTGTCCTACTTTGCGAACGGTGAACACACAATAAATAAACATTTCTTTTAAACATAAATTAAAAAGTTTTGTAGTGATAAAATTATTGCAATTTATTTAGCGCAACGCGCGTGAAACTTTGTTTCATTATATGAATGAAGTTTGCTTTTTTCTCGTACAATACTTTCGCGCGCACACAAATTTATGTTTATTAACATACACACACATATATTTATATATGTTTAAAAATAAATACACAATACAGCTAAAGCTCAATCAACTTTTACAAATTGAAATACAAATGGGGCAAAATTTCTCAAGTGATCTAATAGCAATAATGTCAACATTGGATTTTTTGAAAAAATCATAACTATTGTATAAAAGGGTGTAAAAAAATTATAAAAGAGGTTTTTTTCTTGAATGGTGAAAAATTTTTATTTAAAAATTCAAAATTTACCCCTTTTTGAAAATAACGGAAAATAATTTTGAAAAAGTAAATATTTACTTTGTAAATATAATTACCTGGTATTCTTGTTCATTATTTTCATTGAACACTGTATTATACACGCGCATATAGTTAAATCAAAATTTCGCGCGCGCCGACCCAACTTACTGAACGTTTGAAATGCGGACTGACATTTTAATGATTCCGCTTTTGTGTTTTCATCGTTTTCACTTGTGCTTGTTTACATTTTTATCAACTTTTATTCTATTTGTTTTCTAATATTTCGTGAGTGTTGATTATTCTTTGAACGTTTCCCCCAAAAAAGAAGTATTAATAAATCAATCCCAAAAGAACCGATTTGAATTTGAGGTCTCAGCACTTCAGTAAAAGTTATTTACGATAAGTCTTTTTACATGCATTATAGGTTAGGGCGTTTCACCATGCCCCTTAAAATTTCTAATCCTTTCTTTAAATAGACAGTGCATGAAAAGCACATAAAAAGGTATCGAAATATCTCAATGGTCAAACAAAAATCGAATTTTTAAATTAGAAAATAAAAAAAAACATGAATTTCGCTTACAAAAGTATCTAATTCAATGTTCATTTTATGAAAATTACTTTATATTATTGTTCCACAATATTTTTGCAGCTGATTGGCCCAGGCCAAAATAGCGTGCACTTATTTGAAATAATTAAATTTATTAAATATTTAATAAAATAATTGTAATTAAATTATGAAACATAAATTAAAAATTAAATTGAATCGACAAAGAATAGAAGCAACAGATACGGCCAAAGGCCGTCGAAGGTGCTAGTAAACAAATAAAACAAAATGCCATTTTTTTTGTTTTCAAAATAATAATTAATTAATTAATGTTAATAAAAAAAAGAATAGTTATGATTCTTAAAAAAATCCAGTATGTTTACATTTGACCAAATTTTTAATTCTTCTTCTCCTTCTACAGTTTTTGATAAAAATTAATAATAATTTATGAGTGAAGTACTCACGTAAATGTTATACAAATTGCAGCCCGATATAACTTGTTTTTAATTGGATCACTTTAGAAATTTTGTCTCATGTACAAGTAATTTTTAAATAACTTTATCATTACACCCGAGCAAGTTATATAATTTACAAACAATTTTTCAATTTTAATCTATTATTTTGTTTCGTTATCAAGAACAAGTGTTTTATTTACGAAAAATTTGTTTTTATCTCTTTGGGTTTGGACGTTTATTATTTTTGAAAACTTTGAAAGCAATCCTTTTTGCTGTAATATAGTAGAGCTCTTGGGAATTGTTTTTAGTTTTCGGATAAACAACCAATATATTTTAAATTACTTGAATATTATAAAACAAATTTTTAACCTAGTTTAAATAGGTAGTTTATTGATTAATATAAATAGTAATAAAACAAATAAATAATAACTATAACAAATAATAATAGTAATACATTCTTAAGGTATATATACAAAATTTTTCAATATCTCAAGTACAATTTTATGGTTTTTTTTAAAATAACCCTATATTTTCAAAAAAAAACACCTCCCTGAAGCTGGCTTCGACGCTCGGCGTCAAAAATTATTTTTCATGGTACCAAAAATATCAAATCATTTTTAAAATCGTTTTGTGTCCACATAATACCTTAAAAAGTATTTCTCAAGGTATTATTTGTACGGAAAATATTTTTAAAAAAATAATTTGACATTTTTGGTCCTGTAAAAACAATTTTCGGCTCTGAGCGTCGACGCCAACTTCATGGAGGTAAAAAAAACTCGAGACACGGAAAAGTTATATTTAGATTTAATCGATTCAGTTGAAAATACTCTCATTTTATGTCTTCCGGCGTAATCCACAATTTATGTAAAAAAAATTCTCGTTTGTTTCTCTTTTTTTAAAAAAAAACAAATATGCATGAATAATGCCTAAAATTTGTTAGAATTTTTATTTAATAGAATTTGCTTTTAGACGAATTTTCATTTGTTCGAAATAT